GTCTGTCAGAATTTCCTCAGCTGGCAGCTATTGCTAGATATAAGTAGGTAAATACTAATTCATCTAGTTCCAAACCTCCTAGATACCCCTGCATATGTTCTATAAGTGAAGGGCTGCCACTTGTGATTGAAGTAGTTCTATAAGGATATATCCCATTTCAAACTCACAGGATAGTCGTTGTCCCTGGTGTAACTTCATTGAGGACAATGAACAAATTAATTTGATCTTTGGATCCCTATATATAGTACTGTTATCCCTTCTATACAGATTCAGAACAGAGCCATAGGTAGAAGTGACTTCTTCAGAATTTAGTTAGATACTAAAATATTGCTCTCTAAAAACAGTAGACGGAAACTGATTTTGTTGCTGAGCGAGTAAAGCAATATCCACTGTAGACATTTTGACTTCAGAATGTAAGAATAAAGTGTCTGAGTTTATTTTTAAAATCCTTTGAGTCTCTAGAGACTTCATTTATTACCTGTTTTGTTACATGAAGACACTTTTCCTTTTGTTCTCAGAGTTGCTTTGTTATGAATTATTGACAATAAAATATTATTTTTTTAAGATATGTATGTTACAAGATTGGAGACTTGTTTTGCTAGGTGCTGAATAAATATAGAAGTAGACACAGTAATATACAGTGAAAAGATTTGTTTTCACAGTTAGAATGGGATTACAAAGAAAAAATCACTTGTGGTGTTTTAAGGGATTAAGTTTGAGCACCCAAATAAAAAGCATTACTTTAACTCATTAACAGTATTTCTATAGCATGCTGTCTATTATTACAAAACGGTTGCTATATGCACTGCTAAATAAGTGTTTGTTAGGTAATGGAGGATGAGATATAAAATTATTAGACAAAATGAAATTGTTTTAAACCTGAACTAACCCATGAATTTGTCTCTCACAGGTTACTAATGGAGTTTTATGATGCAAAGGATTCTAAAAGAAGAAACAAGTTCCCAGGGAAATGTGTTCATTCGAAACTAAGCCTCAAGAAAACTTTACCATCCTTGCTGTTTTTAGGTGGCCTGACTGCTAGTATGCTTCTAACAGAATTTGGAAGAAAACTTTATGTAAACACATGGATATATGGGACTTTAATTGGCTACCTATGGGTTAGTATTAAAGCATAAGTAACTGCTGGTCTCCAATGAGAGAAAAATGTTCTCTTGTCTTGCACATTGCACCAAACTTTCTCCTGAATTTATAAAGAAATGCAAAGAAAGCCTTATTGATTGAACATTGGATAAATTAGAATTTATGATTTACATCTCTGTGTGGTTGATCTGGGGAAAATACTCTTAGTTATACAAATTTGCTACTGATTTTGCTGTAAAAATGACAGATAAACTGAGTTATATTACACATTGCTTTCCCTATGAATGAACATCCATCTGTATCTGCTGAAGATTAGTGGAAATATGTCTTTATACATATGTAACTTAAGTGCACCAGTGAATGTATTTACTAACAATAATTTAGGGAATATATATACATATTCTCCTACTATTATTCATGTTTCATTTTTGTAACTTTTCAGTTCATTGCAACAGCTCAGTTATATATTACAACTAACAGCAAAACTAATATTTTTTTAGTTGCTTTTCAATTTTATCTAAATATGTTCCTCAAAAGCTGATCAAGTAAATTCGTAAATCATGAAACGTTATGCAAGGCAGAGAAAAAGTTGCTAAGAACCATTGTTCATTGGGAAGAAGTTTTGTTTTTTAGTGCATGATCTTTTGATTACATTGCATTATTAGCTGATTTAATTATTTTACATATGCAAAACATTTAATTATAATTAATATTGAATCAATTGCTTATTTTGTGTCCTCTGTGTTTGTGCAGAAGAGAATATGTGCAGTATAATGAAATGTTAAGTTTAATTGTGGCCTAACCAGATTGTAGCCTACCATATGTCTATACTATGTCTACCATATGTCTTCATCAATACTTTGTTGAAGATTCAGCTAAGCTAATAGACCTATTGAGTATATGTGCCATAAGCAGTGTGAACTTCAGAAGTTTCCTGTTACCACATAATGATCTCAAAGCAAATTGATGTACTCTGTATTATACATGGTAATAATATAACTTCAGCAAGAGTGTATGTTATGGTAACAAGGAACTTTCAGATGTTCCTACTAAACTTGAAGCATGTGCCTTTTAATCTATGATTTAACATATTCATTGTCAAAAATCATTTAGTGTTATACTATTACCTTAGACTTTCACAGCTCCCTAGCTGATATATACTTCAGATGGATTGATGATTTTGGTGATGAATAATTGTGAAAGAAATGCATATCTGACCAGTATTTTACCTGTTTAAAAATGTATATTTTTTAAAAACCTCTTGTCAGCAGGTTCCTGTGACTATGGTTTCTGTAACTATTGTATCTGTGTATTACGTGGGAGATTCCCTTTCCTTTTGTCCAGGGAATAGACTATCTGCAGTAGGGTTCAGCTAGAGAAGATAAATCAGACTCACAGCATCGAAATGTAAGATCTAGAGTATGCTTTTATCTCACTTCTCCAACCTTTAAATGTGCATCTTCTATTAGCTTTAAAGGTGTTTACATTGCATAAACACATTAAAATAATATACATCTTGAAATTATCATAGATCTCAAATTCATCATAGTCAGTATAATTGAGCAAGCGCTTGCTTTTAATACATATTTTTCTTAACATTTTATAGAGGAATATTTACAAGTCCACCTTAACAATGATCCAGTACAGTTTTCAGTTTGTAACTCTATATTCTGTAATAATGGATTTTGTCACTGGGCATATTTATGCCTTTCATTCCGCAAGAGGTGTTGATGAACCATATTAAAACAATGACAGGGAACAATGTTTAGAACAGTATTGTTGTGAGACTCTTGAAACCATGGAAAAATAAGCCATTTTATGTAACAGGCAAATGTGCTTCCCATGTGTGTCATGCAGCTTGAGCTGTTCTTGACAGAATGGCCTCAGTGGATACAATCAGAACTCAGTGTTCTTCTGGTAATCTGACTTTGACGTGTGAAATATAAATTTACAATGAATCCTCGCTGTGTCATGATTTCATGTAACAGTCCAAAAATTAATAGTAACACTTAAGTATACAATACAAATGAATGCAAATGATTTAACTCACTTGTAGCAGAGTTACTGCTGTTTTGGAGGTGCTAATGACTAGAATTTTGGCTCTCCCATGTTTATACTATCTATACTGTAATTGATTCAGCAAAACAAAACAATTGGCCTGTTTATTTTGAATGTTATTCTCCTGCTACTTTTACACCATTTTTTTTCACAATTGATAAATTTTTGAAAATTGTTATGATTTGTTCATGTATAGGATGTTTGGAGCATTGTATGTGATTTCTTAATATGCACCGAAGTCAACTTGAAATATTTCTTCATTAAACAGAAAAAAGCCAGATGCTGCTTCAACTTTTTTTGCTGTTCCTATTCTTGTTTGAAATATTTTTTTGAAGATTTTATGATTGTAACTGTTGATTGCTGAATTATTCTTTACAAAAACAGTTAACATGCATGGTTTTAACAGTCTTCATTAAACAGGTTTGTGTGAACAAAAGTCAAATAAAAATGCCATTGTTTTTCTTTTCTGTCTTGCTAAAAAGTTTCAGGAACTTGGAATGTTTTATAAATGCCCATGTATGGTACTGAGTAAATGGTTATACAGTGATAGTAGCTTTGCAACTGAGTGCCTGCAAGATCTTTCATATATTATTAATCATGTTTATTATAGCAGTGACTAAGAACCAACAAAGAGCAGGGCATTGTACAGATAGCGTAGTCTGCAACCCCTACACCAAAGACCTTGCAGTCTAAACAGCCTAGGCCAGGAGTGGGCAATAATTTTTGATGGAGGGGCCACTCCAAGATTTTGGAAATTGATCAAGGGCTGCACTTTTCCATGATATCAATGGAGGAGGTGCAGAGTTTGGGATGGAGGTTGGGTGCAGAAAGGAGCTTGGTGTAAGAGATTAGGGTACTGAAGGGAGTGTGGGGTTTGGGAGGGAGTTTTGGTGAAGGAGGTGGTTGTGATCTGGGGCACTGGTCTGGGGTGCAGGGGTTTGGGTTGTGACCTAGGGCAGGACAGGGTTGTGACCTGGGGCAGGGGTTTGGGTTGGGACCTAGGACAGGGGTGGGGGTTTGACTTGGGGCAGAGGATTGTGGTGCTGGTTCTGGGAAGGTATGTGGGTGCAGAAGAGAGCTGAGAGTTTGGCTTATGTGGGGTAGGAGGGCAGGAGTGGAGGGCAGAGGGTTGGGGGAGGGAGAGCCTGGAGTGCCAAAGGCTGGCTGTCTGGGAGACTTACCTGGGTGACTCCCAGCCACCAGTCCAGCACGTTTCTGAGGCAGTCTCCTTGCCTGTCCCATCCTTGCACAGGCTTCAGGAGTCACATGAGTGTGCTAATAAGTATAAGCCAGAGGGGAAAGGGATGTGAAATCGGCCAGTGGGATTATGCTGGGAGCAGGGTCAACTCATGAAGCCTCCTACAGGCTCAAGAGTTTTGAAAGAAAAACGAGCCATCAGCCAATTTTTCTGAGCTGCATGCTATTGGGGTGAGGCAAGCAGGAAGCCTTCCTGGGGCTCCCTACTGCATTCGTGGGCCGGATCCAGCTTGAGGGGCTCAATTTTGCCCAGACCTAGGCAAGGCAGACAGGGAGTAGAGGAGAGGAGAGGAGGAAAAGCTGTATGATGGCACAGACTACCACTTCAGTGTCATGATTATTTTGTTAGGGGAATTAGGTGATAAGCTAAAGTAAAAGGAAGACAAGTGTGACAGGAAAGGAGAAGGGGGAAGTTGTGGAGTGAAGCTGAGAAGAAGAGATGTAGAAAGTGAGGGTTGGAGCAAACAGTCCATCAGCACAGCGTACAGGAAATCCAGTCAAATCTGTAGAAAGTTGTGTGTCCAACAAGCCCCTGCGTTAGCTGCTTCTCCAGATGAGTCTCTGGTTTGTGCTCCTCTGCAGTTCTTTTTCACCAAGGCTTCGGTGAGTATGAAAAAGGGAGGCACCATCTGGGTCCATGTTGGAGAGGAATCTTTCTTGCAACAGTCTTCAGCTCCTTGTAGCTCAAAAGAGAATATTGCTTTCTGTAAATGCATCAGCGTGATACAACGTGGACTGAGGAACAAATATATCTATTTGTTCTAAACTGCCCGTCAATAAGCTAAGGCTTGAAACTGGACAAAGGTTTCTAACCATCAGAGAAGTGAACCCCTGGAATAGTCTCCCAAGGAGAATAGTGGGGGACCAAAAAAAAACCCTAATTGGCTTCAAAACCGAGCTACATAAATTTCTAAAGAGTTTAGTATTATTTGACTGCCTGCACCTGCTAGTAGCAAATAAACAGGCAGGTGAGGAACATTAGAAGGGGAAGACTCTGATTTACTACAGAGAATTCTTTCCCAAGTGTCTAGCTGATGGGTCTTGCCAAAATAATGAGGGTCCAACTGACCACCATATTTGGAGTCCACAGGAATTCTCGCCCCACTATTTCCCCCTCCCCACTGCCCAGATTAGATGGGCAGAAACCCTGTGGGTTTTCCCTTTCCTCTGTACATGAGCCCATGGGTCACTTGCAGAGTTAAATTAGAATAACTGATGCATTCTGTGTAATTTTATATCTTTGAGGACTTCAGTAACTCAGCCGGAGGTTAGAGGTCTATTACAAGAGTGGGTGGGTGAAATTCTGTGTCAGGCAACGTGTGGATCCGACTTAGATGATCATGGTTGTCTCTTTTGGTCTTAAAGTCTGAGTCTATGAAAGCACATCTCTCTCTCAAACAGAAGTTGATCCAATACAAGATATTACTTCAACCACCTTATCTCTTACTGTGGCATGTTTCTTACTGCTAGATTTTGTGGACTTTAGATGTCTATGTGCCAAGAATAAGAAATGGAAGTGGAGGTTTTGTGGGGCTTTTTTATTTGGTGAAAAATAAATAATGGAAAGTAATTTTATTTAGATTGTTTTTCTTACTTAGAGATGGATTCCCCTGGTTTGGGGACTGTATGATCAGCCATGCTCACAAGGGCCATAGCAACAACTATTGACAGCAGGCTTTACTATTCTCCCCCTTTATAAGTCTGGGGACCACAGAAGTCTCTTGTCTGCTGCAGCTGTGCTGTAATGGATAGATCTACTCCAAGTACAGGAATTTAAGTAGAGGTGGTAATGGCTTTTGTGTGCTCACCCTTTCCAGTATTTTTTTCCCTGTTTTGCTCATCTGGCCAGTCTCACTAGTGTGGAGCCTTGTGGTCCTAATGATATGGAGCTTGGAATGTTTTTCAACAACTTGCAGACATGAAAGAAACAGAAATATTGTATCTATTTTTGCATAAGTCTGGTCCTTGATGCAATTCAAGTAACAAAACATAGTGATAATTAAAGTGAAAACCAGTGAAAAATACCAGTTTGTTTCATTAATTTAAAATGTTTATTATAATTTAGGGTAATTGAATTTCCTATTTAATAGTTCATGTAATCTCATTTTCTGAGAAATGGTTTGGCTTTGTGATGTTTTATGAGCTGTGTCCCTCTTCTGAAGGGGTTATGATCCATTATAATGAAATGGATTTTGCTGTTCGAAGTGTGGAAACTAAATATTTATGCAAGGTCTGTGTTAAACATACATTCCACTAGAAATAAGGGTGTGGGGAGAATAATATCAAAGAGCATACTATTGATTTTGAAAGTGCACAATGACAAGTTAAATATTGAAATTGGAACCAATATTTCTAAATAGTCGCTTGTACCTGATTCATGTTTATACAGTGAAAACGTACCCTTATTAGTTATTCTTGTACAAATTGAATATTTCTCAGCTTCTCTTTGATTTTTTTTAATCTTGTATAGAATTGTCTCCAATAGAAACATCTTGATTTTTTTTGTGTTAGATTCTCAGTGTAGCTCTACATTTGATGCAGGATTTTCCATCAAATTAGAATTAACCTAACCTATAAACCTGATTTTATTATTTTTTTGTGTGGTTGTTATGGCAGCCATAGCCAGGGGAGTCTCTATCAGTGGCCATTGGCCAGAGCTACTGCAGAGCCTCTGTGGAGAATATCCTGGCCAGCTGTTGATGTGCTATAAAACATGTAAGCAGATGAGCGCCTGCTCTGTTTTCGTGTTCTGTAGAATTCAGTGGATGTTGTATCAGGCTGACAGAGGAAAGTCAGTTGAGTATCAAGTTGACCCCAAATGGCACTCAGATTGGGTAGATATCCTAGCATTATCTCCCCAGTAGAGCCCTGTGTGACTACACATTTCTATCTGCATATGTGGATATCCATGGATTAGAAATCAGTATTCATTGAACCACAGTTTCAAAAGAAGAATATGGTGCTGTCACTCCCAGGAGCCCTACACGGATCACTCCTCCGAGCCATGGCACTCTACCACTCCCACTTGGAAGCATCTGTGTCTCCTGTCTGGGGTCATACAGTACTGCTGGGGTGGGGCTATGGGCAATGCAGCTACACTGCCAGAAGAAGCTGCCAACATGTGGCACTGGCTTCTGGGAGCAGTGGCAACACATTTCTCCCTTTCTGCAGATAGAAGTTTGTATCCACACAGAGCTCTAGTCACCAGCACATTTTTAACATGATGCACCAAGTCTTGATGTGCTGAGCAACTCTCCTTTTAAATAATAATAAAAAAAAAGCCTTTAGAACCTTGAGTGCAGAGGCTTAAGTAATTTTGTTTCTAAAAAAAAAAATTGTGTATGTGAATTTGTGCTAGTAAAATACAAAATTGATAGCCCTGGTACAAGCGTCCCTGCTGATGTGCTTCATCATGACCTTAGAGGGATTGACCCTCAGGATGAAAGATCGTTTAGTCCCTGTGTAAATGGGATAGTTCTGGCTGGGCACAACTACGCTTGCATATAGCTTGATTTGAGTGCCAGGTTCAACAATGCAACAGGCTGTTTTCAGGAGATGGTGCTTTGGGGTGAGTTGAGATCATTGGAAACCTCCTGAACTGATAAGCTTCAAATGTGGATAAGATGAGGACATTGGTGAGGACCAAATGATTGGTCCTTACATGATTTTAAAAACAGTCCTTTCATGATCCATTTGAGATTCAAAAAGCACAGATGTTAGTAGCTAGTAGAAATGTGCATAGTGTGAGAGACAGTTAGGAACCGTGATGTCACTTTGTACCTAAACTAGCTACATCTAGGCCTGTAACAGAGTGGATTTAGGACTGTGACAAGCCTAATAAAAATAAACTGAGTGATGAGCTGGAGTTGAACTGAGGTTTTGTGCATCCCAGAAGACCAGCTGGTATGCTCTCCCAGAACTGGACACGGTGCTTTGAATAAGCTGAGCAGCTAAGGTCTTAGAGAATCCCATTCATTCCTTGGCTTCTCTCTCTAATAAATAAGCCACTTAGGATGATTAGTTAGTGTGTGTGTGTGTGTGTGTGTGTGTGTGTGTGTGTGTGTGTGTGTGTGTGTGTGTGTGTGTGTGCGCGCGCGCACGTGCACCTTTTCACTAGGACATTAGAACCAGGAACTTAAAGCTGAGTGCTCCGTACTATCCTGTTACCCTCTCCAGGGCCTATGCAGTCATCTGTGTTCAGTCAT